TGTTAAAGTTAATGTTAAAGTTAAGAGTCAAAGTTAAAGTAAAAGTAAAAGGTCGATTGGCTAGGTTGCAGCGGGAGATCGCCGTCCCCGGCTTTTCCCGGACGCGGGGAAGGTAAAGGCGAGGTTTTGTCGGTTTTATCCTTGGGGAGTGCTGCCCCCTGAAAAGAACGCGTTAGCCAATCTGTGACTTGCTCAAGAAACACAAAAGTGTTGAGAGGGGTCCACCATAGGAAAAAAGATGAGACAAGAGAATAAAGAAATAAGAGAATAAGATAAAGGTTGATCGCGATCTGTTCCTCTAAAGAGTAATAAGTGAAGAAAATAACTGAAGTAAATAAGTGAAATAAGTGATAAAAGAGGACATCATAGGAGCTGAAAAGCGTGGATCCATTTCTGTGTATCTGAAAGCTGTGTGTGTGTCTGTCAGCTGTGTGTGTGTCTGTCAGCTGTGTGTGTAAGCCTCTGCTGCTGAGCAGACGTTATCTGTTTATGTGTGCTCTTCTCTGTTTATTGCAATGTGTTTTAAAACCATGGTCAACATTGGGAAATTATAATCTGTGGGAGGTTTTTGATTTTGTTTGCTGGGTTTGATTTTCTGCTGTGTTTGATTTCCTCGCCGCCGTGCGAGCAAAACTGCAAAAAAAAAAGAAAAAAAAAGAGAGGAAGAAGAGGTGATTTTTAAAAAAAACTGTAAGAAAAGAGGTGATTTTTGAGCCTAAATTTTAGCCTAAACAGATGGAGGGTGAACTTGAAAAGGAAAAATACTATCCAAAGTGGGGCATCGGGCCATGGATTGCGCTCGGTGAGCAAATAGAAGCGTTAATAACTTATTTGGCAAAGGATGACGAATATCAAAATAAGGGAGAAAGAAAACAACAAGAAAAGGGGCTAGAATACCTGGTGCAGAAGAAAGGAGGCGACCTGTTAAACAGCCTTTGGGGAAATATTGGCTGGACGGAATAAATGACACTGAGGGAAAACTGGTTGAAACTAAACTAATCCTGCACAATTCACTATATTCACATGTGGTAAAATTAACTGTATGAAGGATGAATGAAATTACATAACAGGTAAAATTGTAAACACAATAAAGAGACAGCTAATGTGTTGAAATTCTAGAAATTTTTGCTTAGCTGTTGATGGGTTAAAATTTAAACTTAATGAAACTTGAGAAACTGAGGTTTATAGCAGAGTTGAACTTTGTCATGGACTAATCAATATTTGTCTCTCTCATTATCTTATCAAAAACAGGATTCCTTTTTATTTGAAACTTGGTCACCTTAAAATGTCTAAAGAGGGAACAGGATTGGTAAATTAATATGAATATTTGTATGACTTCAAAGGTGATTATGAAACAGCTCCAGATTCAATTAAGGTTCATTACAACATATTCTTGTCTCAAAGACAATTTATGATTCTAAATCTACAGTAAATAATTCGGTTACCTTGCTTCAGAATGGGAAATAATATGTTGGAAAAGGAGTAATCACATTTCAGCTTTGGTTTAAGACAAGACAGCATTTATTATGAGACTATTTCATTTGGTTTGACATGTTTTATTTTCATTTTTATTGATATTATTGTTGTTTTTATTTTTTTTCCTAATAACAAACCAACTAACCAACCAATTTACTAACTGAACTAACTGCTGATTTCAAAACACATGCGTGTCTTGGCAGAAAGGCACAAATTGGACATGAAACTTTTAAAGTGGATATGATAATTGATTATGTAAAAACAAACTGATTGGACAACAAATGGCTCACAACACTTGTGTGCCTTAAATTTTGATTGAATTGATACATGAATCC